ATGGCCATTTAGAAAAAGATTCTGCCACAGGGTTCCCTTTAGAATTGCTATGTAGCCTATGGATAAACACCCTCACACCCAAGAAGCCATGGTGGCTTAGTGGGTAAAGAGTTGCACTGCTATCCCAAAGTCGTACAGTTCAAATCCACCACCTGCTCAAATGGAGAAAGATGGACAATCTCTTAATGATTTACAGCCACTGAAAACCTGTTGGAGGATAAGCTATGAGTTGGTTCTGACTAGATCTTCAAGACATATATACACATACATACATTTACATATATGTGGGTCTAACAACATATAATACAGGAGATATATACACACACACACACACACACACACACACATATATATATATATATATATCCAAATCTAAAGGAAGAAATCACCACTTCTCAACCTGAAATAAAAATTCAAATTTTAAGTTGCAATGCTAAAGGATACTGTGGGCAAAATCTTGAATAATTCAGGAAACACTAAAAGAAGATGTAAAGATACGTAACTAGCAGGAGAGATACCATCATATAACACCATGACGGTGGTTTCACCAGGCCAAGGCTTATCTATTGCACTCCACATATGCTGACCCCGGTGATGTCCCCAAATGTGGGAAAAACAACTGCAATATTTGTGATAGTGAGGAACTGTGTGTATACTATCCTATAGTAAAAAAAAAATACAGCATCACTGTACCATAAATAATTTACTGACTCAGAACCAATTCAGGAAGTAACATACAATCAAGAATCAGTGGTAATGAAGGAAGAAGTTCAAGCTGCACTAAAGGCATTAACAAAAAATAGGGCCCCAGGAGTTGATGGGATACCAGTTGTTGAACATCCCTCAAGTACTTAATAGGATGTACCAAGAAATCTGAAAGACAGTTAGCTACTTGGCCACCTGACTGAGTGAGATCCATATTTGTCCCATTCCCAAATAAAGTTATCTGATAGAATATAGAAATTACCAAACAATATATGCAAGTAAAATCTTGGTGAAAATGATTGAAAAATGGCTAGAACAATATATCAACAGAGAACTGCCAGGAACTCAAGCTTGATTTAGAAGAGGCTCTGACACCAGAGGTAGCTGTTAATATCAGAAAGATCTTGACTGAAAGCCGAGAATACCAGAAGGATGTCTATTTGAGTTTAATTGACTATACAGAGGCATTTGAGTGTGTGGATTGCAACAAATTATGGCTGACATTGAGAAGACAGAATCCTAGAACACGTAATTGTGCTTTTGAGAAACCTATACTTAAAGAAGCTATTGTCCTAACAGAACAAGAGAGCACTGCATAGTTTAAAATCAAGAAAGGTGTATGTCAAGGCTGTCTCCTTTCTCCATACCTACTCAATCTGTATGTTAAATTATTTGGAAAGCTGGACTTGATGAAGAAGAATGTGACATCAGCATTGAAGGAAGGCTCATCAAAAATCTGCATTATGCAGATGACACAACTTTGCTTGATGAAAGTGAAGACCTGAAGCACTTAGGCTTCACGAGAAATTACATTTCTATATTGAGAAGATAGAAATCCTCACCACCACTGTGCCAATAGACAACATTATGATCGATGGAGAAAGGATTGGAATTGTCAGTGATTTAATCTTTCTTGGGTCCGAAATAGCTTTAGTACTAACAGTCAAGAAATCAAAAGACTTGAGCAGTGGGAAAATCTATCAAGGACTTTTCCAAAGTTGTAAGACGCAGTGATGCCAGTGTAAAGACTAAGGTGCCCCTCATTCAGACTCTGGCCTTTTTAGTTGTTTGGCTATGCATCTGAAAGTTGGTCAGTGAATAACAGTGATAGAAGTAGATTGTCTTTGAGTTGGGGTGTTGGAGAAGAGTACTGAATGTCCCAAGGACTGTCAAAAGAGCAAATTAATAACATTTTGGAGAAAGTGCAACCAGGGTCCTTCGAAGCAAGGAAACTTCAGCTGACATACTTTGTGCATTTCGTAAGGAGAAGCCAGTCCTTGGATAAAGACATCATGCTTGGAAAGGTGAAGGGTCAGCAAAAAGCTCTTAGTGAAATTGACTGACACAGTGACTAACAGTGGGCTCAAGTATACTGAGATGATGAGGATGATAGTACAGGCCTGCTATTCATATGGTTGCTGTGGGTCCTAGTTGACTAAATAGCACGTATTAACAATGTAGATATCTAGAACTGTGTGTTTCTCTGTATAGGGAGCTCTGGTAACCTAATGGCTAAGGACTTCTGCTCCAGCCCAAAAAAGCAGGCAGTTTGAATCCACCAGCTGCTCCAAGGGAAAATGATGGGCCATCTCCTCTGTGATTTACAGCCTCTGAAAACACTGGAGAGTCAGCTGTGAGTCCGTTCTGACTCAAGGGCACATGCCATCATCTCTCCCTCATCTCTCTGTGAGGTGGTTCCAACTGGATGGCAATGTATGAGAGAGGTTGTTTTCTTTTTTGCTTTCATTGTGGTTTGAGTGAAAGTTTACAGAACAAATTAGTTTTCCTTTCTATAATTTATACTCATTTTGATTTTGTAACGTTAGTACCAATCCCTTTAGTGTAACAACACTTCCTCTCATTCTGCTTTTCCTCCTTTTGTGCTCCTTCCTTCCTTCCCTCGGAATATCTCAGAACAAATGTTGCCCTTCTGAGGTTCATTATCCTGAGAAGCATGTTCCTCACTGTTATGGGCCTGTTGTTTGACTGCAAGGTGATCACAGAGATGGTTTAGTTTAGGGCTGAGAGGTGTCTCAGGGCCTTTCACTGGGAGGTTCTGCCAGTCTCCGTCAACCCGCGAAACTGGACTTCATAATTGTAAAGTTTGTTCTGTACTTTGCTTCCATTCTGTCCAGGACCTTTTGTGGGCCTTTCAGATCACTTGAGTAGTGTAACAGCCAGGCACCAACTGGATTTTCTGGTCTCAGGTTAATGGAGCTACCGTTCACATAGTGTGTGAGTTATTTGGACCTTATTTTTGCCTTGAATCCAGGATTTTCCTCACTTTTCTTTCTTCCACGTGGGGAGAGAGCAGTCGCTGCGTCTTAAATGACAGCTTGCTAGCCTTTAAGACCCCAGTCACTACAGACCACAGTAGAGACTAGATAAAGTATTGTCTTTGTGGCCTATATGTTATGCCACTCAACTTAGCCAACCCCCAAGGCTGTGATCCTGGGTTTCCAAGCCCTCAATGGGCTCATTCCTTCATGGGCTCTGAGTAACAGGCCACCCCAAAACACTTTGGTTTACAGTGGTGAGCATTTCCTTTTTGCTCCTGTGACTCTAGGTGTCTGGATCCAATTCATCCAAGCTTGTTCTGGCTCAACTTCAAAACTGCTTATACGCTTTAGATTATATCCCGGCTCTCTTAGACCTGCAACCACACTAGACATTTTTGTTTTGTTTTATTTCTTATTTTATAGTTCTTTTCTTTTTTTATTTAGTTTTTTCTAGACTTATTTTTAAATCTAAAGGAAGGAAGTCAAGGGGATAAGTGAAACAGCAGACATGTTTAGAGCCTCTTCCTGTCAAATCAGCTGGCATGCCATTGACCAAGTCAAGTTCATCGTCTGAGGAGCAGGGAAGCATGTTTGTGCTGGCCTGGCAAGCCTCAATAGACTCAGGCATTATTTCTGCTGCTCTCTGACATCTTCGCTGCCTTAAATAGCATTATGTGTTCCTTTACAATTGAGCTTTTTTGAGGGCAGTTTTCCCAGATTTGAAATTGAGTGGGATTTCCAGTTGTACTGCTTTCTTTCACTCTCAAGTTTGTACTACCTTAGGTATTTTTCAGGGAGTAGTTTTAGGTGAGATCCTTCTGTAGTGTAGCTCCAGTTGTTGAAATTACTACTTTTCTCCTTAAAGTAACACAGGTGCTTTTCTCTTAGCAACAGTGCTTAGTAATGGGCTGGATCTGAATACTAAGTGTAGTGGAATCAACTCAGAGGCCTTCTCAGCCTTCACCCAGTGGCCCACAGTGGACTGTGATTTACTTTATATTGGAGTATACATTTTTAGCGACAGAAGTAATAAAGGAGGTAAAATTTTATATACATAGCCACTCATTTCTAAATGTTAGGAGAGAAAATATTTCTGACTTCTGCTAAGCTTTTAAAATTGTCTTTATTGTAATTTGAGTGAACGCTTAGAAAACAAGTTGGTTTTTCATTCAACCATCATGCATTTTTTTCTTGGCATGAATGATGATACCTGAAATGTAATCATACTTTTTCCTACTTCCTTTCTGTGACTCTCATTTCCATCAATCCTTCTGTCCTATCCCTTCCTTGCCTTCAGGCATTTATGCTTGGATAAATACTGCACTTTTGCCAGCTAAGGTTGGTTATTCTGAAAATTGAGTGTCTTTTGGTACTAATGATCACCTTATAGGCTTGCCTATTGTTTGGCTGGAGAATTAAGGGCCATAGTCTCAGGGTAAGCCTGATCCTTTTATGCTTTCCAGTTTAGTTCCACGTGTCCCCCAACTGTATCCAGGATCTTCCACTGTGATATGTTTAAGATGATCACTGGTGTAGCCAGGTACCATCTTGTTCTTCTGGTCTCAGCACCTTGGAAGTTGAAGTTCCTGTGGCCTGTTAGTTCTTTGGAATTGTTTCAGTACACCTTTGTATTTCTTCCCTTTCTTTTGTTGAGACCAGTTCTTTGTACGTTAGATGTTTGCTTGCAGGCTTTAAGACCCCACCAGCGTAGGATGTAGACTTTGTCTTGATGGACTGTGTTGTACCAGTTGTCTTTTAGGATTGTGTTATGAGAGTTGATCTTGCTGTCTTCAAAGCCTGTGATCCAAGGCCCCAAAACCAGCAACTTAATCTGTTACAGTCTTTGGCTATAATTGTTGGCTCTGCCATATGAACTTGTAGTAAACTAATCATCAAACTTAGCAGTTAGAATCTGTTGAAAGCTCGGTATTTGCTGACTTGTCCTTTAGCCCTTTTTTTTAGTTTTTTATGTCTCTTTATTCCTCTTGTAAACTTAATGTTGCTTTCCTGGTACAGGGTGACTAAGGAGGTGGATGCTACATCTAAAGAAGCCAAATCTTTCTTCAAGCAAAATGAAAAAGAGAAACCACAGGCGAACTCCCCTTCAGCTCTCCCCTCGGTCCCTGCAGGCTCAGGGTGAGTACTCAGGGCCCAGCCTCAGCTGGACCTGGCTTGTTAGAGAAGCTGCTCTCGGTACAAGGACAGCTGTGAGTCCTCCTGCAGCTCCTGTCTGCAAGAGGATCGCTATCAGCAGCTCTGCCTTCTTAACTCAGGTCCCAGAAAGCGAGCTGCAGAGGCTGATTCTCCAGAGGATTGTTTGGTTGTAGCCTAAATGAAGTCCTGACTGAATGTTGACCATCATGCTGAGCATGTCATAATTTTGCATTTAAAAACTTTTAAAATGAAAGCAGCAACATCAAAGCTTACTAATTTTTAGTGACTATATTGGATGCAGTTCCCCAGTGGCTGCAAAGAAAAAAAAAGTCAAAGGCAGTTTATAACTATTTCTTTTAGCATGTTGTCAGAAACATAGCTGTATTTATCCCTTCACGTTTTCCAGTGTCCCAGTTTAATTTCACTGAAGAAGTGGAGGTAGATGTGGGTCATAGGAGTAAGAGAAGCCAGGCTGTGGTCTGCAGGGGAAGGAGCACAGACTACACCTGGAAAGCCCACTGACCCCCTGGCCGACTGCTCGGGGGTCCTGGTGTTTCCATCCTCAGTGTTTGAAGTGGAACAGGACAACGGAGTGAGCTGCTCTGACCCTCAGTCAGGTCTTCTTCCTTCAGCCTTTGAAAACACAACCTTTGCCTAGGGAAGTTTTATTTGATTTTTCTTACATTAAACAACCAGCAAACCATTGGTTTTCCTGTTAAGTTTTAAGCTTTTCTAAGGCAGGCCTTTTCCATCTGTGTATCCCTGGCGCCAAATAATTGTGTTTTGCTCCAGTGTGCGCTTAGTTTGTACTCCCCAGAAGCAGATCCTGAGACAAAAATTTGATTATATGTCTTTGTTGGTGTGTGCTGTGGAGTCAGACCCAACCCACAGTGGACTTTCCAGTGGGTTTTCAGAGGCAGTAAATAATACAGGAAGAGGTTGTCCCTCCTTCTCCCATGGAGCAGCTGGTGAATTTGAACCATGTGCCTTTGGGATTGCAGTGAAGCTTCTTAGTACTAGGTCACCAGAGTTCATTGGTGGTGAGTATTCTGAGGACATCCCAGTAAAGAGGTGAGGAAGGCAGGGCAGGGACAATGAGGAGACCTGAGAGATCATGAAAGGCCAGGGAGGGTCAAGGAGGCTAGGGTATCTAGTCTCCAGCCTCGCCTGTGGTGTCTCCGAGCTGCTTTTACAGCAGGAGCGGTCCCTGCTTCAGCCCTCAGGTGGCCCGTGACCAGCAGGTGCTTGTGGTAAGACACGGTAGTCAGCAGTGACGAGATGTGGTTGGCGCTGTCTCCACATCTGCAGCATGCTTTTTTTGTTTGCGTTTTACCCAAAATATGTCTTTCCCACTGGAGTCTTGGAGTGGTTATTCAGGAACCTCAGAAATAGAAGGCTTTACTGCTTGCTGCCACAGTGGGCGCGATATACATGGGATGAGGTGACAGTGGAGGAGAGAGAGCTCCATGGTACACGTTAACAGGTTCTCCAGGCCTGACTGTGAGAGCCATAGGTCATTGATTCTCAAGCTGCTTTCCAGTAACCATTTGAAAGAAGTGAACTTCTGTGGGAAAGCACTCACAGATGAAGGATGCTGTGAGGGGCATTTACTGCATTGACAGCATGGTGCTGCCAGCTGCCTATCTGCCTTGTGTTGCTGCCTTGCCTATCCTGGGCATTTCGTGTGCATGAAGTCATACAACATGTAGTTTTTGTGTCTGGCCTCTTGCACTTCACATGTTCTCATGGTTCATTTGAGTTGTAGTACATATCAGTACGTCTCCTTTTTTATGGTTGAATTAATTCTGTTCCATTGTGTAGATATGCAGTGTTTTGTTTATCCATTTTCCAGTTGATAACCATTTGGATTGTCCCTACTGTCTGGTGTTGTGAATAAGGCTACTGTGGACATTCAGGTGTAAGTTTATGTTTGACACATGTTTTCAGTTCTTTGAGTGTAACTGGGGTCACATGATTATTCTGTGTTTAACTTATTGAAGAACCAGCCAAAGTGCTATCCATGGTGAGAGCACCAGTTTATAGTCCCACCAGGAATGTGTGAAGAGTCCGTTTAAAATGTGTTTTTAAGGGGAATTCTGGTGGCCAGTGGCAAGAAGCTGCACTGCAATCCCAGAGGCGCATGGTTCGAATCCACCAGATGCTCTGCCGGGAAAGGAGAGACAATCTCCTCCTGTACCAGTCAGATCCGATTTGACGGTACACACACACACACACACACACACACACACAAAATAATAAAAAAATTTTAAAAAAGAATGTTTTTAGTAGAAGGATGAGATAGGAAAGCAACACGTTTTTAGCATTATGTTGTTAGAAAGGTAAGCTCTTTGAACTAGTTGCTTTCAAACTATTTTAGGGAATACGCTTGACCCCTACATGCATACATGCAGGCAGATTAAAAGTAAAAACTGACGAAATGCTTGCTTTTACTTCCATGATGACATCCCTCGGGGGTTCAGGGACTTCTGGCCTCACGTCTGCTGTTTGAGCCCACTGGTGGTTCTGAGGAAGAAAGGGCTGGTGATCGGCTCTGTAAGGATTACAGCCAGGAGCTCGAGGACATGCATGGAGCAGTTGTCGATAACGCACAGGGTCCCCGAGCCAGTCAACTTGATCGCAGTGAGCCTTTTGTGTGAAGCACTGTCATGATTTTGGTTTCACATTGTGTGTAGCTTCATTTGGAAAGGTGTCATGACCACTAAACTGGTTTTGTAATCTGTTCCTCCTGATCTGGAAAACACTGTTAAAGACTGCAGTTTGACTGACCATGTTTTTATGCAGGTAACACACTCATCATAGTGGCTTTGCAGGCCAGGTATTTAGTTTCTTATGCATGTTTATGTTTATATATATATATGGGCATACGTACATATATATGTATATGTGTATATATATATAGTACATTATGTGCAGAAAAGGTTAGCCTTCTGCAGGTTTTGCATGGATTGTTATACTTGTATCTAATCTGATGCCTGCTGCATTCGTTAGAAGCATTTCTATGAAAATTGCTTCAGAGAGGAATAAAAGCAAAAGCTCATCACCTTATGGCAGCGTTTCAATGAGGATACTTTTTACTTTTGTTTCCTTGGGTGTTTCATCATGAAGTAATCCTTATTGGTGTTTGGAGATACTCCTTTGAAGCTGCTTGTTTCAGAGAATACTGTAGTTATGGCATACAAGGAGCTGTCATGGCCTAGCGGTAAGGAATGATGTTGCCAACCCAAAGCAGGTAGGAATCCATCACCTGGTCTGAGGGAGAAAGGTGGGCAGTCTCCTCTAGTGTGATTTACTACCTCGTATAACCTGCCAGAGAGTCAGCTAAAGTTGATTCTGACTTGATGGTACTTAACAACAATTATGTCATGGCTAGGTAGGATGAGCAGTGTTTTGTTCTGTTGTACATGAGTCATTATCAACATGAGAGCATCTAACAACAACAGTCTTGCTACATGTAACAACAACAATCTTGTTACACGTATATGTACATAGGTGCATGTTGTTATAATTGAGAGATAACCAGAGGAGGAAAGAGTGCCAGCTCAGGTGAGGTCAGCTCGCTTCTTTCACCTGAGTCATCTGAGTTCACGTGGAAATCTCCATGCATTCTACTTCTATTCCTTTTTTTAGCCAGCGCTAATAACCTCTCCAGGATAAGAAATGTACTGAGATAATATCTCTAGTGGGGAGACTTGACAGGAAACAGATGGCACCTTCATATTGGGATACTTCAAGGAGAATTATTAGTTCCAAATGGTGGGAAACCATGGAGACAGGAATTGTGCTGTGTTCCCAGTCCTAGTAATAACGAGGTTCCATTAACCATCCCTGAGCATAAAAGAGCAAGACTGGAGAGGTATGAGAGAGGCAAGACCTGAGAGGCCCTCAGGTAAGGGACCTCCCGATAGTAGTCAAGACCTTTAGTTGAGTGATGGGCTGAACAGGGAGAGGCCATGGAATAAATACTCAGCTCTTCCTGTTCTCCTCCCCTCCCAGCGCTTACAGGGCCGTCCTGGTAGCTGCTGAGGCCTGAGAGAAATAGTCCTTGTGGATGTGGTCCCTACAGGTCTCTCACAGGCCAGAGAGCAGTGGAGGGAGGGTGGAGAGGGGATTTGGGGGGCTTAACAGCAATTGTCTTCCAGTGGATTAATGAACTGCTGACCCCTTTTCTAAAGGGTTATAGTAAAATTTACTCAGAATCTGTTTTTTGGACTCGGTAATGGAATACAACAGATTACAGGGCTCTGTCTGTGGTATGACAGAGAAAAAGCCCCACGGTTGTACACATGTAATAAGAAGACCTTCAGGGTTAGCACATTGCTTTTCCTGAGTGGCGTCTCAGTTTTTCCAGTCATAACTATGCTTAAGAAAAACTGGGCTGAGAGGAATGTGACTGTACTGGGGCAATGGGGGGACATATTCTATTAGCGGGATCTACGCCCTGCACATGTGGCTATGACAGGCTTTACAAGGGAAGGACGTACATGAGGAGCACTTAAGAGGAGGATCCTAATACAATAGTCATCTTTCTGTAAGCCTTCTTTTTCTTTTTCATTTTTTGAGCTGCTTTGGTGTCTAGAGATTGCCCAGCAGAAACACTTTATTTGTGTATTTTCTTCTGTAAACAGATTTAAGCAATTCAGGAAAACCAGAGCAGAAGAGTCAAACATCCTGTCCCACATCCTCTGCTGACAAATGAGAACAGACTTGGAGCAGCAAATGTTTGTAACTGAAAATGCATTTCCTCCACATGTTTAAAATAGCATGCTGCTTAGACTATAAAAAGCTGAAGTTTATGCTTTAGGACTGAAGTAAACCAAACACCCAATTTTAATTAGAGGCAAGAATCCGAGATGGCTAGAGGAGTGCTCTCCACATTTGGTAGTTGAAAGCACCAGGCTGCCACATCTTTCTCCCACCAAACACTGCAGTCTGCACTCCACCACCAGGGCCCTTTATGTTTG